CTGCCTCGGCCTCCCAAAGTGCTGGGATTACAGGCCACCGCGCCCGGCCAATAGTGGGTTGTTAACACTCTGATCAAAGATACAAGGAGGAAAGAGCTCAGTAGTATAGATGACATTTGACATAGTTTGTCATAACTTACAGATAATTTTAAAAGCTTTAATTAGTGACTATTTGACTTTATATTATTGAGTCTTTTATTTCTCTAAAGAGGATATTTTAGAAATGGACAGTGAGATTATTGAATATAAGCTAGTCGATATTAATATAGGTGAAATTTAAGAATTTGTTTACAATCTTGATTTTCATCTGTTGATTTTTTGAGTAAGTTATTATTTTGTAGCACTGTTCTAGGACTAGAAATAGTAGATCTTAGCTTGTTGCTATTATTATGTGGAAAATACAGCCAGGAGGTGGTTTGGCCTGCTCAAATTATTTTTGAGATTGTTCCTCTGCTTTCGCCTACTTGAGGGTACACTTTAAAAAATATTGAAGTCATTTTATTGAAAAACTAGCTCATGTTAGTTTTGAAAGAGTTTGCTGTGAATTTCTAAGCCAGGTTCAGGATTAAACTATACCCAAATGCTCACGATATAAAAACCAAGTGAATGAGTTAAACTCCGGCTAGAGGAAACCACATCTGCATCTTTCTCTTACCATGGAAAAGGGCATTCTGAACATTACCACTTAAAACTAACTTTTCTCTTTAAGGGTTCCTGAAATTGTGCCAGCTGACTCCAGGTCCACCCTGACCCCACAGCATAAACCATGCTGTGATGTCACAGCTACCATAGAACTCCAGGGTAGTGTTGGGCTGGCCCATGAGGGCTCAGGTAAGTCCTGGCTTTTTTTTTACCATTTGGCATTCTTTTCAAAGTTAGTAACCGTTACAATTTTACGTCATAAAGGAAAATAAGGCAAAACTTTGAAAACTGTGCCATATATGGGGGAAAAAATAAGTCTGTTTTCTAAACATCATCTATGAGCCAGCTCTATATTCTAAACAATGGAGTTCCATAGTAGCTGTGAAGTCCCCAGTGAGTTATTGACCTGTGGCTTCAAAATATTTAAACTACTCCTGGCCCAGCTTACAGAATAATACATTTGTTTTTTATTTTTATTTTTTTAGCTGTTTAGTAATATTTAATATAGTAGCTTTCATTTATTCTTAGGCCTTCATGTTTTAAGAAGTGTATTAACACTTTCCTTTATCTGTAATTATGTTTCCCTATTAGGCTAATTGTGCGTTTCATTCAGTTTTGAATGATGATACTGCAGATTAGTTTTATAAAGTTAATCTCAGAGTGGCTTTAGCTGTCCTTTTATTTGCCTTCATAACATGAAGGAGGAAGGGACAGAAGGCGTAATACACATTTGTTAAATTTTCAAAAAAAAAAAAAAGTATTAAAAGAAAGATGCTTCGGCTGGGTGCTGTGGCTCATGCCTGTAATCGCAGCACTTTGGGAGGCCGAGGTAGGTGGATCACCTGAGGTCAGGAGTTCGAGATCAGCCTGACCAATACGGTTGAACCCCCTGTCTTTACTAAAAATACAAAAATTAGCTGGGTGTGGTGGTGTGCACCTGTAGTTCCAAGTTAGGGGGCTGAGAGAGAAGACTTGCTTGAACCTGGGAAGTGGAGGTTGCAGTGAGCTGAGATCATGCCACTGCACTCCAGCCTGGGTAACTGAACGAGACTCTGTCTCAAAAAAAAAAAAAAAAGCTTCAGTTATTCTTGGAGGCATTGTGAGATGTCAGTAATATGTTGTCTTCTCTTGGAACTTTAAATTTTTTTTCCTGGCCTTTGTGTCCTGTAAAGTGAGGTTTTTAACACTGGCATTTATTTGTTGTCTCTTCCTGTCTACCAATTCTCCTACCTTATTTCTACTTTCTTTTTATCCCTTGACATTAAAAGGTGCTCAGAATATAATTATGTGAAGAACTCAGATATTTCATAATTGTAAGGTTTTTTTTGCATGTATTATGATGGTTTTGCCCTGATCCCTGAGTAGAAAATATGTGGAAACTTTAAATTATATGCGTATGGGCCAAATTCTATTAAACACTACGTCTACAGCAAAAATGTTTCTGCTGTATGAAGTAGCCGTCTATGAAGTAACTGTTTAAACTTCCAGAAGTTCTTTTTGAGCAGTGTGCAATAAAGACATAGCAAAAATGGGGACAGTTCAGTGATATTTTCATGAAATTTGATTTGTAATAAATTTACTAATCTTTGTAGCTGAAAATTTACTGGTCACTGAGATTGTAAGTTCATAATTATGCTTAATGAAAAGAATGAAATTACATATTCCCCAAACAGTAGATAATAAAATTTCTTTTAAATATTATTTTTTACCTATACTTAAATGATATGTGTTTTTCATGCTGTGGGAAATTTGGAGAATTTTGTGCTGTCAAGAACTGACAGTAGTCTGTTTTCATCTTCTGTACGTCCTCCATGTTGGGGAATGGGCAGGAAGCCCATTTGCAGTTTAATGTAGAACATGGAGTTGTCGGGAGTCAGTAAGTGTTTTTGATAATGTTGTATTATGTCAAATAGAAATCCTAGTTGTGTTTGTGTGTATCGGCTTTATTAATGTATAATTCACATACCATGCAAGTCTACATTTAAAGTTCTGGATTTGTTTTTAAAAAGCACTTAATGAAAGCAGAATGGGTGATATTATTGTACCTTATAGTTCCATAGTACATTTTGCTAATTTTGTTGTGCTATTTAGTCTGCACCCCACCCTCCCCGCCCAGTGCTCATTAACTTCTAATTACAGAAATCTCTCAGAGACATTAGAGAGGAAATCTTAAGAATTTCTAAAATGAGATTATTTCTAGACTTAAGCTATATGGTGAGTTAGGTAAAAATAATAAAGTGATTTGAAGACCTCCCCTACTTCAAGCAATAGAAGGAAGTTATTTGATGCCTAGCTTTACATTACCTCATCTTAGTCTTTGGGAAATAAAAAGTAAGCATGAACTTACATAAACAACTACATAAATGCATACACACACACACAATATATATACACATATAAATTGTACAGATCTTCCTCTTTGCTTTTTCAGGTAAATTGATCAGACTCTTGGGTTGTTTTTTTTGGAAGTGATTGGAACATTTTTTATGTAATACAAAACATTTTGTAAGTAGTTGTATTTTAAAACGGAAGACTATAGAAGGTGCATTGCTGCTACCTATACCTGAAAATAGTGAAGGGCTTTGATAGGACTGAAGGGAAAAGTCGTTGCCTTCATACAGAAATGCTGGGAAGTAAGACGAGATGGCATGGGCATGCTGTCTTAAATGAACTGCACTGAATTATCTGAAAAGTTATGGGCCGTATCAGATTATACTTAATTGTTTATTAAATAAGCAGAAGTTTTAGAATTTTTTTTTGTATTTGAACATAATAATTGGAAATAGAAAACTCTTTAACCATAGATTTGTTTTTAGTTCAAGTAGCACATTCTGGTCTATTTTAAAGGCTTGCCCTTTTGGGAAGATTTATAGCCCTTATCTCATGCCATCCTTGATTAAGCTTTAGCCCTGACTTCCAGGGCACAGTTTCTTAGAAGGATAAGATGGGTGGAGACAAGGCATTTGTAGCTGAACTTGTATATACATAGTGAAGAATATATCAAACTTTGAAGGTAAGAATTCCTATAAGAAGGCATTCTTAATATCATGGGTTTTCAACCTGAAGAATGTATATGTCTGTGTTGGGGGCTGGGGTTCATTTTTTTGAGGAGAGGATCTAAATTTGCAGAAAGGACCTATGACCATAGGGTTTGAAAACTTTTGAAGCTGGCCTTTTATGGCTCACAAATGTAATTTTAAAAGGACTATTTTGCGTATTGGAGTCATGTTTTCACTGTCTTTGTATTTCTCTTGCCTGGCATGGTGTTCTGTATATCATGAGGATTCGGTAAACGTAGGAATTACTTTGAAGCCTTGTTATCTTTACTAATGGCAGGAAATTGTTGAATATTACCAATCTCTTATATTCTAAGAAATATGTCTTATCTAATTCCTAATTCAAGATGGCAATTAAAATAATACACTAAGTAAGAATATTTTTCCTAGTATTATTATTCTACCCAGCAAACACATTTGTCTTGATGTAACTTAAGAAACACTTAAAAGTATTTGTGGTAAACTGGAAGCTAATCTATACTTTTTTACCCCTAGGGCTGATTAATACCTGTACTTTCCAGACTGCTTAGTTGATAGTATTACTATCTTTACCTAACGTTGATTTGTGTTGAGATTAATAGAATGGTTCAGTGGTAGTGGAATGTTCATTATAGATTTGGGCAGAAGTGGTATTTGTGTTTTCCTCCTATTCTAACTGGATTGTAATGTTTTATTTTAGCATATTTTCTTTGAAATCATCTGGTTCAATTTTTAGTTTATTAATCATTCTTAATGGGTTTAAGGAAGTCTTGGCTATAAGAGTCTGAAATCAAAATGTTGCCAACGTTTACTTACAGCGAAGATGGTTTCAGTTGCTCTAAGTTGTTTCAAAGCTAAAGAGCAGTGTGGAAACTTCAGTATTTGTTTTAAAGAATGCAGTGTAAGGGGCAGGAGGAGCTCAACACCAGCCGGAAGGATATCCCTGTCTCCTTGGTTTCTGCAGAGTCAGGATGAATGCAGGACCCGAACCCAGGGGCTCAGTGTCTCTTGTGACGTATGGTTTCTCGTACTAGATTATCGATCTTCCATCCAATTCATACAGTCTAATAGTTCTCTAAATCCCACCAGAGCCTGGAGCCTGCACTGATGGTAAGGTAAGTGTCTAGGAGTTCTAGTTCTGGAAGGAAAATTTTTAAAGGGAAAGGAAAAAACTAATTTTCCTTATTCTTTAGGACATTTAAATGATGCTTCAGGATCCGGGAGGCACAGAAACACTTAAAGAGTTTGGAGTGATTGCTTCAAGTTTGTGCTCTTTGAAGAAAATTATAATTAAATGCATTTCTATTTTGCTGCTTGTTTTAGGGGTTGTAGAAGGTGATTTAGCTGCCATAGAAGCATACAAGTCATCAGGAGGAGACATTGCACGCCAGCTCACCGCAGACGAAGTACGCTTGCTGAACCGCCCTTCTGCCTTTGATGTTGGCTATACTCTTGTACACTTGGCTATACGTTTTCAGAGGCAGGATATGCTAGCAATATTGCTTACAGAGGTGAGCGTGGCATTTTGGTTAAATGTTCTTTTATATTAAGGAAGTCTGTTCTTTAGATTTCATTTTTGATTTTATAATGTTTCTCCAAGCAGTTTTAAAATGTTTTGAACTCTTTCACCTCCTTTAAAAAATAACATTAAACTTGAGACTTCAACAGTGTATAATTTTTAAGGGTATTTGCTTCCAAAATTTAAATAGTCACAGCAATGTTTAACTTACTCTATTTGGTTCAAACAAGCCTGGGATGTGTCTGTCATTCATTTGTTAGTCATTCAGTTAACAAATATTTATTGAGTACTTACTGTGTGCCATGCACTGAGCTCAGAAAGGATAGAATTATAAAGACATTGGCTCTTCCTTCATTGACTCTCCAGAAAAGTACAGAAATGAACAGGTAATTCTGTGTAGCATGTGCCCTGGTAGTTGTAAATGCCAAGTGCTGCGGCAGTATGTGCAGAGTTTTGAAAGGTGTCTTGTCTTCTTTCTTACAGCAGGTAATATTTTTGCTACATTTTGAAGGGGAGGAGTTAGAAGTTAGCCACCTGAAGTGGATGAGGGAAAGAAGGGAGGTTGAGGAAAGCATTTTTATAGGGGGGCAGAGATGTGGAATTTATGGTGAATCCAGGGACTTGCAGGTAACTCAGCATGGCTGAGATGGTGATTGAGAACAGAGAAGGTTAAGTGTGAAAGATAAGCAGAGGCTGGATTATGAAGGATCTTCTGTGTTAAGGAATTTGAAGAGTATTCTTAGGGTACTGAATGGTGTTATGTACAGGTGTAGGGGAGTGAGCAGAGCAGATTGTGTTTTGGCTGCTGCACACTGGAGAGGGTTGGGAGGGGTTGCAGAGGTGCTGGCCAGAACTCTACCAGTAGGGTAGTAGCCATAGAAATGGGAAGGCAGTTTGAGAGACTCAGACAGGCCCTCAGTCTGAAGATTGATTGGATATGGGAAGATACAGTGTGGACCTAATGGTTTCTGGCTTAGATAACTAGGTACATGCTACAAATGATAGATACTGCATGTGAGTTATTCAGGATATGACTGTATTATCCAAGTAATTTTTAATTTTTATTTTTTAAGACAGAGTCTCGCTCTGTTGCCCAGGCTATAGTGTAGTGGCATGATCTTGGCTCACTGCCCTCACTGCCTCCTGGGTTCAAGTGATTCTCCTGTGTCAGCATCCCAAGTAGTTGGGTGTATAGGCACACACCACCATGCCTGGCTAATTTTGTATTTTTAGAAAGATGGGGTTTCACCATGTTGGCCAGGCTGGTTTCAAACTCCTGACCTCAGGTGATCTGCCCGCCTCGGCCTCCCAAAGGGCAGGGATTACAGCCATGAGCCACTGCGCTTGACCCAGGTAATATTTTTTAATGACAAGAGAAATAGAGTAAAAATGTGGAGAGTCATATTAGTTGTAGATTCAAATTTTGTCAGTATACATCTTTTGTATATACGTTTGCATATTTGTTTATTCAAATTTGCCATTATTTGGCAAATTCGAACCATTACAGGGCAATGTGTAGGGATTAAAACATTTGACAGTTAGATGGAAACATGATTGTAGTAGCTAACCATCGTGTACAGTTTGGTAAGATTCTATTGAAGCTGGGGTGAGGGCTTGCGAGACTGAAGGTCATGATGAAAGCAAAAGTGCAGGCTTGCTGAGTGTAAGGGAGAAGGCACTTTTCAGGTAGAGCGATCCAAGTTCTGGAATATAAGATGGAACAGTTAGAGGAAGTTTTTCTAGTGTTGAAGGCCTGGCTGCATTTGTGTTGTGGTGTCTAGTCATGTTGTCTGTTGTATACTGGAAGGGCCGTCAGTGTGGAGTTATACTTTGCTGGTGGTAACAGGAGCCAGAATAAAGAAGGCGGCTATGAACTAGGGTGAAAATCTTTAGGGGCTCCCCTCAGGTAGGTAGAAGATTATTACAGGATATTAGAGGGGCCATGATGAGCCATTGAGCTCCTGAAAACAATCTGAGGACTAACAGTGGGATGATAATAGAACATCAATATGTTTATTATAATATCACAGATTATCTGGAAACTTAGCGACTGAGACGAGAAATGTATATTATCTCACAGAATTTGTGAGGGTTAGCATCCAGGAACCACTTAGCTGAATAGTTTTGGCTGACAGTGTCATGAGGTTGCAGTCAAGTGGTCCAAGGCTGTAGTTCTCAAAAGACTCAACTGGGGCTCAGGGATCTGTTTCCCAAGCCCACTCACATGGCTTTTGGCAGGAGGTTTCAATTCCTTGGCGTGCAGACCTATCTGCAGGGATGCTTATGATACGGCAGCTGGTTTCACCCCCAGCAAGCGATCCAAGAGAGGCACAGAGTGCAAGAGTGATCCAGTGTCTTTGATACCTGCAGAGTCTTTTATAAATGGATTTAGGAAGCAATATACCATTACTTTTGCTATATTCGGTGGGCCATGTAGAGCGACCCGGAAACAGTATGGGAGAGGTGGAGGGGGTTTGTTCCAGGCAAAGAGAAAATTGGTAATGGATTCAGTCTCCATGGAGTAAATACTCCAAAGGTCAGAATTAAAGAATTTCCAAAAAAATTCCAAGTTCTTTTGGAATGAGAACAGGAGAATATTAGAGTTGGGGGGATATGTATGTAAGATTCTGTGTCCTTGACCCTGTTTGTAGTCTCGTGAAAGTTATGGACTCCTTCCCAAAATAATGTTTTTAAATACATAAAATAAGAAGTAAATAAGGTTACACAGGAAATCAGTTGTATTGAAGTAATAGTTACCAAAATACTAAATTAAATGTGTGATATATAAGAAAATACATTTTAATATAGGGAAAAGTTGGGGAAAATGGATTTAAATTGAATTAGAATGAAATTCCCATTAAAGTTCATGGACCATTCCCAAGATCATGGACCCTAAATTGAGAACTCTCAGCCTACGGAGATGGTTGAGAACCATAAAGTTGAAGAGCTGAGGAGGTGAGTGCAGGCTTCACGGGCACATCTTGCTGAAGGATGGTGGTGGAAGGGGTTGTTTGGAGGCTCGGTTTATTTTAGAATGTTTGTGGTATTCAGGGTCCAGTCCAGGTGGTTTTTCGAAAGGTCTTTCTAGGTTTTTGGAAAGGGCCTGAGGGCTAGCTGACTGGAATAAGTGATTTCTGAATTTATTTTGGGGAGCCATTTTAACTGTGTTACTTGAGAAATAGTTAATTATAGTCTGAAAATACATAATTTGATTTTCCATGTTTGAGCATTGACTAATGGTTGGGCTCATGTAGTTTAAGATGTAGTGAGAATTTTAATGGTTAACGATAATCTTGGCCAAAAAGTCTAGTATAACTGAATTTTCATGTTAGGAGGTTTTTTTTTTTTTTTTTTTAATCTTTTTTAAAATTTTTTTTGAAATGAAGTCTTATTCTGTCATCCAGGCTGGAGTGCAATGGCATGGTCTCGCCTCATTGCAACCTCTACCTCCCAGGTTTAAGTGATTCTCCTGCCTCAGCCTCCTGAATAGCTAGGACTATAGGCATGTGCCACCACACCCAGCTAATTTTTGTATTTTTTAGTAGAGATGGGGTTTCGCTATGTTGGCCAGGCTGGTCCTTTTTTTCTTTTCCTTTGAGACAAGGTTTCTCTTTTTTGCCCAGGGGTGTGATCACGGCTCACTGCAGCCTTGACCTCCCTGGCTCATGCGATCCTCCCACCTCTCAGCCCCCGCAGTAGCTGGGACTACTGTTCATGCCACTGTGCCTAGCATATGCGCATGTATATATATAAATGTATTTTTTTTTTTGGTAGAGGCAGAGTTTCATTATGTTTTTCAGGCTGATCCTGAATTCCAGAACTCAAGTGATCCTCCTGCTTTGGCCTCCCACACAGTGCTGGGATTACTGGTGTGAGCCACTGGGCCAGGCTGGAGTCAGGGAGTCAGGCGACTGTGTTGGGATGCAGAGTTTTGGAAACACTGTTTCTTTTAATAGCAGTTGCAGTTAGTTCTCCACATATATTATGTAGGTAACATTATCAGTAAACCTTACTCTTTGAGAAGAAGAATAAGAAGCTGGAAGACCTGTTGCTCTTCAGACCCCACTTTCCTTTGGAATGGTTGTCCAGGTTGGTGATGTCTGGGAACAGGCTCACTACGTTTGCACCATATTCTTTTTTTTTGAGGCAGAGTCTCACTCTGTTGCCCAGGCTGGAGTGCTATGGCATGATCTAGGCTCACTTCAGCCTCTCCTCCTGGGTTCAAGCTATTCTTATGCCTCTGCCTCCCTAGTAGCTGAGACTACAGGTGCATTCCACCACTTTCAGCTAATTTTTGTAGAAGTATTTTTAGTAGAGATAGAGTTTTGTCATGTTGGCCAGGCTGGTCGCGATCTGCTGAGTTGAGGCAATCCACTCACCTCAGCCTCCCAGAGTTGGTGGGATTACAGGCATGAGCCACTGTGCTTGGCCTGGTCGTATTTTCACAGATGCTCAACTGTGATTTTAGAATTTTGTGTACGTAGTTTTATTTAGCTTCACAAACGGGATATGACTGAAATACAAGGTTAAATTAAATCTTTGCAACGTTTGTTGCTATTTAGCATTTTAAAAAGAAGAAAAAAAAATTAAAAAAGGAAGAAAGTTCTAGTCTTCCTTGGTTTGTTGTTTCTTGCTTAGCGGCCTGTGCAGTAGTGCTCCCATCTCACTCCTGTCAGGCCGAGCTGCAGATGTTGGCAGTCTGTGTTTAAACTTGAAGATGCCAAATGCTTTTTAAAAACTCAGAGTGGTAACAAATGGCGAGGAAGAAAAGGCTTGAGGGCAGTGGGAAGTAACCCTTTAAATACCGTGCTTTTTTTTTTTAAGTCCAAACTAGGGTACTTGAAACTTGTAGGAGAAGAATGTTTGTAGTTTTCTCTTTCTCTGTGAGCTGTGATTCTCTGCTTCTAAAGATGTTTTACTGGGTGCATGATGGTTAGTCTACTTAGGTTTTCTGTCCTCCCTCTTCCTGTGACATGTCTATGGACAACACCCTTTTCCATAAATTTTTATGTGCATCTTTGAGTATTTCCTTGCAATAAATTCTTAAATAGAAATACTGAATCAGAGGTTAAAACATTTTTATGACCTTTTGAAAAGTTGTATTGATACATACTTTTCATTGATAAGGAAATAATACCCAATGTATTTTAAGATTAAATAAAACCTTGAATTATTGGGAAATTTTGCTGATTTCTTTTAAATACTGTTGTTTTCTGCTTCTATTTATAATACATGAGATGAGAGGAAAGTTTGTTTTGTATTTAAGGTGTCTCAACAAGCAGCAAAGTGTATTCCAGCAATGGTGTGTCCTGAACTGACAGAACAAATCCGGAGAGAGATCGCTGCCTCTCTTCATCAGAGAAAGGGGGATTTTGCTTGCTATTTTCTGACTGACCTTGTAACATTTACGTTGCCAGCAGGTAACTCCAAAATCTAATGTAAAAAGAAATTTTCATTTTATTATAGTTATATTTGTGTATATGGGTGAAAAATGTTTTTGTTAGAAGGCACATAACATAGCTACTGTATGAGCATCTTAAATTACTTGACTGTCTTATTTATGCTGGAAGTGACCATATAGAAAGCTACTTGTTAGTAAATTCTTTAGTTTTCTGAGAGGAATACAGCAGTTGATATTAATGGATTTCTTTGTGGACCTCAGATAATTTTTTGAAAATCTGTTTTACTCTTTTATTTTCTCTGGTTTTATTTTAGAATATTTAAGAAAAAATCTCCTTTGAAAAATTTTCCCTTTTCATGGTTGTATGTTATTTTGAAATTAGTTAGCTATATTGATAACCTGGTATTAAGAAATGGGTTTAGAACATGAGCTTTTTATGGGTAGAGCTATGATATTTCAATTGAACATACTCCATTCTCTTGAACCTGTCATCCCTTTTTTTACTCATTGTATTTATTTCTACTGTATTTGTGAAGCAACTTTTCATTTTTCAATTCGTTGACTGTTGAAGATGGCTTTTAGAATGCTTTTTGTCTGTTGGCATTGATGTTTGGCGTTTTGTCAGTTGGTGTTTGGTTAGCACCAAACACCAAAAGTTTCTAAAATCTTTCATCTGAGATTTTTTTTTTTTTTTAATTGAAATAGGGTCTTGCTCTGTTGCCCAGGCTGGAGTGCAGTGGCATGATCATAGCACACTGCAACCTCCAACTTGTGGGCTCAAGTGATCCTCCTGGCTTGGCCTCCTGAGTAGCTAGGACTGTAGGTGTGTGCCCCCCATGCCTGGCTAATTTAAAAATTTTTTGTAGAGATGGAGTCTTGCAGTGTTACTCAGCCTAGATCTGATTGGTTTTAATTTTTATATTCAGATGTAAATGGGCGTTTACAAATTGTAGGAAATAGTAATTAAGTTTTCTGAAATTGGAGGAAATTTCATTTGAAATGCACTCATTCTGTGTTTAAGCTTACCCCAGAATGATTATTATTTTTTTTTTTTGAGACGGAGTCTCACTCTACTACCCAGGCTGCAGTGTAGTGGCAAGATCATGGCTCACTGTAGCCTTGACCTCGCCAGGCTCAAGCAGTTCTCTCACCATAGCCTTCTGAGTAGCTGTAACTACAGGTGTCTACCATCTCATCTGATTCATTTTTGTATATTTTTTGTAGAGACAGTGTTTTGCCGTGTTGCCCAGGCAGGTCTCAGAATCCTGAGTTCAAGCATTCTGCTGGCCTCAGCCGCCCAAAGTGCTGGAATTATAGGTGTGAGTCACTGCACCTGGCCCAGAAAAATATTTTATATAAAACATGTTATACTTATATATTAAGAAAAAGCTATCTGATAACCTTCGATGGAAAGAGAGTTATTTTAGAGGAAGTTACTAGTAGATACTAATATTAAATATAAGTTATGAAACAAAAGATCTTTTAAGTTGACTTTTTCTTTGTAGATATTGAAGATTTGCCTCCAACAGTCCAAGAAAAACTATTTGATGAGGTGCTTGATAGAGACGTTCAAAAAGGTAAGCATGGAATTAATGAGACAATTTACCTTTTTCTGATCAAGTAAGTTTTATTTAGTAAGATATGGTATAGTTTGGTGTATGGTCAGCTTGGTTGGTTGGTTTGTTTATTGACTGATTGATGGATTGAGACGGAGTCTTGCTCCGTTACTCAGGCTGGAGTACAGTGGTTCGATCTTGGCTCACTGAAACCTCCGCCTCCTGGGTTCTAGCAGTTTTTCTGCCTCAACCGCCTGAGTAACTACGACTTCAGGTGCATGCCACTATGCCCAGCTAATATTTTGTATTGTAGTAGAGATGGAATTTCACCATGTTGCCCAGGCTGGTCTCGAACTCCTGAGCTGAGGCAGTACACCCACCTCAGCCTCCCAAAGTGCTAAGATTACAGGCATGAGCCACCTCGCCCGGCTGGTTTAAAGATACAGAGTCCTGAATTACAGTGTTACATTGTATTGTTCACTGTCATAGAATGCACAAATAAAGATAACAAAAATTTCAAAACCTTGGTTTCTGCTTTCTGTTTCAGAATGTGTATTTCTATATTAAACACTTTTTAGAAAATCATACTATAAAGAATTTAAAAGTTTATTAAATTATTTTAGAGGCAGATGATGTTTCCAGTACTTGAAAGTTTGTATTTCAGTTGGTCAGTTTTATTTAGGTGTTTATTGGTAAATTACATATAAACCATTTTATATCTAGAAAATAGGTTCTTCTCCCCATGAATATTCTCTAATGACATAGGTATGGAAATGAACATGTATTTAAATTCATCGTACAGAATTAGAAGAAGAATCTCCAATTATTAACTGGTCCTTGGAATTGGCTACACGTTTGGACAGTCGACTGTATGCACTTTGGAACCGGACTGCAGGAGACTGCCTACTTGATTCAGTACTACAAGCTACCTGGGGCATTTATGACAAGGACTCGGTGCTTCGGAAAGCCCTGCATGACAGCCTGCATGACTGTTCACATTGGTGAGCTGGCATTCTTCCCTGTTTCAAACCAGGAGTGCATTTGCTGGATCATTTCCTTGTAGTCGTGCAATACTTTTCACGTCAGTTATATTTTATATGGAAACTAGAGGAAAAAGTTCATTTTGGACATTAAAATATGTTGAACATGTATGTGGTTTTTGTTTTTCTCTCAAGATGGTTTTTGTACCTTTTTTTGCTAAATTTTAAAATAAAAACATTGGAAGCTTTAAAATGCAAGCATTTATCGTTTCTATAAAACAGAAGTGGTGTATTTGAACATTTCAAATGCAGCATTTCAAGTTATAGTAGGCGTAAGTATTGATAAAGCCTTTCCTCATCTTTTTGAGGATTGATTGATTGATTGATCGATCCATCTATGGAGACAGGGTCTGGCTCAGTCGCGGTATGGCTCAGTCACTGGGCTGGAGTGCAGTGATGGAATCTTGGCTCACTGCATCCTTCACCTACTGTGTTCAAGCCATCCTTCTACCTTAGCCACCTGATTAGCTGGAACTACAGGTACTCATCACCATGCCTGGCTATTTTTATCTGTTTTTGGTAGAGATGGGGTTTTGTCATGTTGCTCAGGCTGGCTTTGATATCCTGATCTCAAGTGATCCACCTGCCTGAGGCTCCCAAAGTGCTGGGATGACAGGCCTGAGCTGCTGCACCGAGCCTTGTTTAATATTTGTGTTCAACTAAGAGATTATCTTGACATTGTGTTACAAGTTTTTTCCTTCCTGAGGGAGCCTTAAGATCACATTTTTTATTTTGCAAATTTTCAAACTCATAGAATAATTTTAAAGAAATTCAGTGCAATGGATCCCGGTATTTTCTTCATTCAGTTGAGCAGTTGTTAACATTTTGCCACCCCTGCTCCGTGTCACCGTAGAGAAAGACTCCTTGATCAGTTCATTGTAGACATCGTGATGCTTTACCCTTCAAAATATCAACATGCATCTTTCCAGAAGAAGAATATTCTCCTACTCACCCACATCCCCATTACTACATCTCAGTAATTCAGCATTGATTCAGTCATCTGACAGTTCATAATCAAATTTCTTCAGTTATCTCAAAATGTGCTTTATATAGATATATTTTACCTGCATCCAGACACTGGAAGAATCATTGTTTTTGTGAATGGATAGTTCAGTCTTTACATTTATTTGACTTCTGTGGTATTTTCTTGGTTCTTTGAACATTATCTCATTTAATTATTTTATAAGGCTCAAAGGAGGCTAAATTGCCTATTGTTGAAGTTAGTAACTAGCAGAAGCCATTTAAAAAGTCGTACAGTTTTCCCTACATCAATATCAAAATGTTTTTTCTCCTTTATCTAATTGAATGCTTACAAATAATGCTAAAAACCCTACTCTAGAGATCTTTATTACCCTAGTATCTTTATATCTTTTTATTTTTTGAGACAGTCTTGCTCTGTTGCCCAGGCTGGAGTGTAGTGGTATGATGGCTCACTGCAGCTTCTGCCTTCCCAGGTTCAAGCAAATCTCCTGCCTCAGTGTCCCGAGTAGCTGGGATTACAGGTGCCTGCCACCATGCCCAGCTGATTTTTGTAGTTTTAGTATAGATGAGGTTTAGCCACGTTGGCCAAGCTGGTCTCGAACTCCTGGCCTCAAGTGATCCACCATGCCTGGCCCTTTATGTCATTTTTGAGCACTTAACAGCCTCCCATAGTGGTGGGATTACAGGTGTGAGCCACTGTGCCTGGCCTTTTATTGTCATTTTTGAGCACTTAACAGTTGTAAATTTTGTTTTCAGTATTTAGGGCTTACATAAACACCATTATAAAGTTCATGAGAACAGGGATTTTGTTTTATTTTGTTGTGGAAGATCCAGTACTTAGAATAGCCTGACATATAGTAGATGCTCAGGAAGTACTTATATTACTGAGTGAAAGTACTCTGTAGAATTTGGAAATGAGAACAATGTAAGTTACTTTTTCTTCTTTTCTTTTTCTCTCCCTCCCCTTCCCCTCCTCCTCTCCTCCCTTCCCCCTCCCCTTCTCCTCCCCTCTCTGTCCCCCTTTCTTTGAGACGAAGTCTTGCTGTGTCGCCCAGACTGGAGTGCAGTGGCGTGATCTCGGCTCACTGAAACCTCCACCTCCCAGGCTCAAGCGATTATCCTGCCTCAGCCTCCCAAGTAGCTGGGACTACAGGCGTGCATCACCTTGCCTGGCTAATTTTTTGTATTTTTAGTAGAGACAGGGTTTCACCGTGTTGGCCAGGCTGGTCTCAAACTCCTGATCTCAGGTAATCTGCCCACCTTGGCCTCCCAAAGTGCTGGGATTATAGGCATGAGCCACTGAGCCCGGCCTATAAATTACTTTCTTGAGAGCAGAATTGTAGATTAAAGCATAACACGGTATGGCTGGGTGTGTGTCTCATGCCTGCAGTCCCAGTGCTTTGGGAGGCTGAGGCAGGCAGATCATTTGAGGGCAGGAGTTCAAGACCAAGCTGGCCAACTTGGTGAAATCCTGTCTCTACTAAAAATACAAAAATTAGCCAGGCAGGTTGGCTTATGCCTGTAATCCCAGCTGTTAGGGAAGCTGAGATAAGAGAATTGCTTAAATCCAGGAGGAGGAGGAGGAGGAGGAGGAGGAGGAGGTGGTGGTGGTTGCAGTGAGCCAAGATAGTGCCCCAGCACTCCAGCCTGGGTGACAGAGTGAGACTCTTTCTTGGGTTGGGGGGAGGAGAAAAAAGCATAACATAATAGAGTAACAATTTGTGGGCACATTAGAGAAATAAAATTGCTTCCTGGATGGTGACCTGATTGGATGCATAATAAAGCTGAAGAATGAATGTGTCACTCAGGTAGATGGTTCAGTCAGTTAGTCATTGTCCAGAAGAGAGGGCTTTTTGTGCCAGTTAGTGGAGATGGCTTTTGTAGATTGGTCTGGTAGCTTGAAGTGGGTTCATCGGGCTAGGTAAGCCTGATGCTGGTCATTGCTGTGTCTGGCCCTCTTGATCAGATCTTGTGGTCACCAAGCAGCTTCCTGCTGCTGATTTACATGTCCACTGCTATGGGCCTGCCTGTGTCAAGAGGATGAGCATGGTTTGGTTCCTAAGACAGTGGGTTCTTGGCATTGTTGTTTCACAGGTCTGCCTTGAAGTTTTGGTGATGACTCTGCCCTGTAAGATGGAGAGCCAGGTTTGAACTGTGGTAAAGCTACCACTTTGCAGGTACCCTCTAAAAAGGCATCCTGTAATCTTTTCTTTGGTGGGAATTTTCTGTTTTTTTTTTTTTTTTGAGACAGAGTCATACTCTGTCACCCAGGCCAGAGTACAGTGGCACGATCTCGGCTCACTGCAACCTCTGTCTCCTGGGTTCAAACAATTCTCGTGCCTCAGCCTCCCGAGTAGCTGGCGTTACAGGTGATGTCGCCATACCCCTCTAATTTTTGGTATTTTTAGTGGAAAGCGGGTTTTGCCATGTTGCCCAGGCTGGTCTTGAACTCCTCCTTAGCTCAGGCAGTCCGTCCGCCCGCCTCGTCCTCCCAAAGTGCTAGGATTATAGGTGTGAGCCACCGCATCTGGCCTTTTCTTTGAAAATTTCCTGATCTGTTGAAAAGCTGAAAGTACATTGTGAATTTTAGAGGTGGTGTCTTTTTTTTTTTTAGTTGTGATGGTTTTTGTTGTTGTTGTTTTTGTTTGTTTTTTGAGAAAGGGTCTTGCTCTGTCATTCAGGCTGGAGTGCAGGGGCATGATCTTGGCTTAATGCATCCTCCACCTCCTCGGCTCAGGTGATCCTCCCACCTCAGCCTCCTAGGAGTAGCTGGGACTACAGCAGTGTGCTACCACATGTGGCTTATTTTAAAATTTTTCTGTAGAGATGAGGTCTCACTGTATTGCCCAGCCTGGTCTTGAACTTCTGGGCTCAAGTGTTCCTCCTGCCTTAGCCTCTGAAAGTGCTGAGATTACAGGCCTGAGCTACTGCATCTGGCCTTTTTTAAAAAAGACATTTGTGGTGAGTAAGAATTGCTTTGGGGTTTATGCCTACCTGTTCCTTACAGCTGGCTGAGGGTGATCATAGGAGTCTGAATTGTCATTCATGTATGTATCAGGACTGGAATTCTCAGATGGTTGTGAGTCATTTGAGGTCCCAAAAGTCTAGCACAGAGATAGGGAGATTGTGGGTGGATCTCTTGAGGCTAGGAGTTTAAGACCAGCTTGGATAACATAGCAAAACCCTGTCTCTACCAAAAAACACAAAATTGAAAAAAGGTGGTGGGGGAGAAATAGAGTCTGATGTAGTAAATAGGCTGGGTAGGGAGTGGCTACTAGAGTAAGAAGGAACTAGGCTGTTTACAGGCTGTTGACAGTAACCACTGGTAAGAATTATTGCAGCAGAACTTTTAGTCCATAGTCCTCACTCTCAAAAGATGCTTCAGGAGTGAGCACCTGGGGCTGAGATATGGACATGTGTCCCAGAACTGTGTGGTGCTTGGCACCACCTTCTCCAGTCCCTGCCACTGCGGAACTTTGCCTGATGGTTTATAGTTCAAGATAGTTTTGACTATGTTAAATCCTTTGGATTTCCATATAAAGTTTAGGATCCAGCCCATCAGTTTTTGTAAAAAAGCTGGGATTTGGATTGGGATTGCCTCGAATCTGTGTATTAATTGGGGTGGTGGTGGTATTGCCAGCTTGACAATATTGAGCCTTCCAATCCATGAACATGGAATAGAATTTTGAATGTGAAACCAAACTTGTATTCCTGTACCATTTGGTAATATATTGCTGGATTTGGTTTGCTTGTTCGTTTTTATGGAGACTCTGGTAGTTTCAGAGTGGTGAGGATGAACATTTTAACATGTTTAATTTAAAGTATATTTTAGGCCGGGCATGGTGGGTCACGCTTGTAATCCCAGCACTTTGGGAGGCTCAGGCAAGTGGATCATGAGGTCAGGAGTTCGAGACCAGCCTGTCCAATATGGTGAAACCGCGTTTCTACTAAAAAATAAAAAAATTAGTTGGGGGTGGTGGCACACGCCTGTAGTCCCAGCTGCTCGGGAGGCTGAGGCAGGAGAATCGCTTGAACCCGGGAGGTAGAGATTGCAGTGAGCCAAGATCATGCCACTGCATTCCAACCTGGGTGACAGAATGAAACTCCTCAGTCAATCAAGAAAGAAAGAAAGAAGGAAAGAAAAACTTTTATTGAACTCTCTTCTTCAGTGGTCTTGAAGAGTTTTGAGTGCAATCACTATTGAATTTCTGTCTAACTTAGCTGTCTCATTTATAAAATGATTTTAGGCACTAACCAAGAAATTTCTGAACTGCATACAACTTTCACTGAGTTAACAATTTATCTGTTTGATATTTCTCCTTGAACTTTTCAAAACAATGTATTTCATCACTCTGGTCAAAATATTCAAACACATTTCTCTGTATATCTTAGCTATTGTAAAAGAGGAATATACATACTTTAATTTTAAAACATTTGGAATTATGATTAAACATCCTCAGTTACCTGGAGTATGAAAAATGTTTTAAAATCAACTGAGTTAAACCCTTGGAACCTTATATTTTAATTTCTTTAGAAAATATATTTATTTTCTAAGGAGCCCTTCATTAAATTACTGTAAAGTTACATGTGACACCAACACATTTAACTTTTTTTTTTTTTTTTAATAGCTATGGAGTCTCACTATGTTGGCCAGGTTTTTTGAATTCTGGGCCTCAGGCAGTTCTCCCTCTTCAGCCTCCCAAAGTGCTATAATTTTACAGGTGTGAGCTACCACACCTGTTTATGTTTAACTTTAATATGCTGGAACTTTTTAACAACACAACAGATACCCTTATCTTTTGTTTCTTTTGCCTAGAATTCAAATGTATAGAAGAGAAATGTGATGTTATAAACAGATGAAAGATCTGTCTTCGTTTTAGAGGTCTTAGTTGGCTTGTTTTTATAAGACAGTGAAACATAATTACTAGCATAATTATTTGTGAATTTAATTTTTACACATGATAGACAAAGAATCGATGTTGTTTTCAGCGATTCAGGTTAAGCATAAAGAAGGGATGTTTTCTGTCATTGCAGGGGTTTTTTTTTGTTGTTTTTGAATCAGGTGATCATCAGAGAGAAATTGTTGATCTTGATATTATGAACACATGGAATATTTCCCATCTATTGTTTATACAAGTGATTGCAGGTGGTATACTCTGTATATTGATAGAGAAATGTAGTGTCTTGTGTCCAACATTTCAGATGAGTTTTTTTTTTTTTTTTGGTGTAAACTAACTGTAAACAGTTGAAGATAACCGGTCTCATTGCTAGTGTTCGAAGTTTGAAAATTTGGTTGTTGGCAAATTAAATTCTGGTGAAAGATGTTAAAGGTTGTTATAAGGTATCTTCCAGTGGAAGAGGGAGGCATTTTTCATTTGAAAAATCCGTTATCACCCAGGCAAAATAAAATGATTAATTGCTTTGCAAACTCCTTAAAGACTACATTAAATAAAAATGATCAGAACTTTAAATGTTTTGTATCTATATAAGAAGTTTTATATCTATATAAATGTTTTATACCTCTATAAGAAGGCTTATTTTTTTACTATTTTGCTTTTTTAGGTTTTACACACGCTGGAAAGATTGGGAATCATGGTATTCTCAGAGCTTTGGTTTACATTTTTCCTTGAGAGAAGAACAGTGGCAAGAAGACTGGGCATTTATACTCTCTCTTGCTAGTCAGGTGAGGACGCTTCAAGTTTTGTTGCTTCTCTGAGAAAAGTAAGCCATGTAGTCTAAATTGATTATTTGAGCAAACCATGTTGGGGGCCGTGTGGGTACAAAGAAAAGAATGCTTGACTTGATATCAGTCAACTTGGGTTCTAGTCATGTATCAAATAAATAGCATAGCAAGTATGGCTGACCATAGCAAGTCCTCACTGCAGAACAGGGAGAGTAATGTGTGCTTTTATGTCGAATGATTAAAACCATCAAAAGGTCACACACACTAGATAGTCTTGGGATTGCTCTCCATTCATGTGGGAATGAATTTTTAGGTTTGCTAACACCTTTTCATTAATGAAGGAGTCTTGTAACATGGAACTGTGTAGGCTTGCCCCTTAGACTCTTGGTTTCGTGCTTGGTTTTATGAAGCACTTCAGTATACCAAACTGTAAAGTACAAATATATATTTATAACTATTCCTTTTCTTTCCAGAAAGTACTATGATTCATTTGAACTTAGAGAAGGAGGTACCTGGTCTTTGGGCCATTTGGGCAGGATTCACAGTGGTTGATTTATATGAGACGTACCTCACACCATGGGTTATAGCTGGAGGATGGACCCATTTAATATTTAGTATTTACATTTGCATGAAACAAGCTCACTGTTTCATTTCAGGAGGACTTTGTTGTAGGTAGTGCTTTCACAGTACCTTAACCAGAATGTGATTATAAAGCATCTTTAGCTCTCTGAATCTCTGGTTCCTGAGATTGGATGGATAGTAGTGAGGCTGGGTGGCAAGAGTTATTTCAGAATATGTAGGCACATCTATATAATTTGTGAGTTTGGATGGTAAATGATATTCACATATGGCCTTTGTAGATTTCCTTTAGAGTTTTATTGGATTTGTTATCTGAGGAATCAAATGCTTTGACAATTCTTTTTTCTTAAAAATAAATTGTGATAGTGCACTGAAGGGGAGGTAGTACTGTTTTTTACACATCAGTTTTCCAGGAGTGGTAATAAATGTTTTAAATTTTTGTTTTGTTTTGTATAGCCTGGAGCAAGCTTGGAGCAGACGCACATTTTTGTACTGGCACATATTCTTAGACGACCAATTATAGTTTATGGAGTGAAATATTACAAGAGTTTCCGGGGAGAAACTTTAGGATACACTCGGTTTCAAGGTAAGCCATTATTCAGGAGCATTTTACAAGTCTCTTCTAATGTTGGCAGCCACATGTGTAAGTATTAACTGGTGAGCAGGATCAGAGTGGCTCAGATGCCAGGAAGGAGGAGTAGACAGGAATGTGAACAAGGGCAGTGAGGGAGGGAGCAGCTCTTTCTTCCTGACTGTTTGGATTTTCTTCCCTCTTTTTCCAGGTGTTTATCTGCCTTTGTTGTGGGAACAGAGTTTTTGTTGGAAAAGTCCGATTGCTCTGGGGTATACAAGGGGCCACTTCTCTGCTTTGGTTGCCATGGAAAATGACGGCTATGGCAACCGAGGTGCTGGTGCTAATCTGAATACTGATGATGATGTCACCATCACATTTTTGCCTCTGGTTGACAGTGAAAGGAAGCTACTCCATGTGCACTTTCTTTCTGCTCAGGAGGTAAGCAGCATATTTCTAGTACCCTGTACCAGAAACAGCCTAAAGTGGCTTTCAGGTGTGGTTTTAATTTCTGAATGTGATTGTAGTAATTTCTGAAGATATCAGTTGTGCTTTTTACCTTTTCAAAACTGCTGTATGGGAAGACATCAAGGAACTTCAGGAACTTCCCTCAGGTGGTGATGGGTGTTAAGAAAAAGTAAAGATGAGGGAATGAGAAGTGAGTTTTTATCTGAAAGCAGAGTTCTAAGAATTGCAAGGCCAGTTTAAAAGGGTCAAGCAACAGGGAAAGACGGTAGGGGCTAGGGGAGGGAGGAATAAGAGGTCAGAGACGATAAGGGTGGGGTGGAGTTCACTGATGGCCTTTTAAAGCTTTGGGTTTTACTCTGGATGTGGCAAGCCATTGGCCAGTTTACCCAGAAGAGGAACATTGGGGCTCTCCTGCCGTGGCAGGAGCAAGAGCACCAGGTAAAGCTATTGTATATGCAGGGGAGTGAAAGGGTGTAGACCAGATGGGAGGTGAGAATGTACAAAACAATGCTCTTTCAGAAAGCCAGCATTCTTATAAAAGTATTGGTCTTTTATTTAATATACTAGTAATTATATAAAACGTTTATAATCACAACATGAAGAAAAAAGTTCATAGATTATAACTTGTATAATTTCACCCTGTACATAATTGACTGAGTAAACTTACCTTGTCATGTGTTTGAAGCTGTGGCTTGCCAGGATCAGTTTACTAGGACATTTGCTTTTTGTTATTTTATCAAATAAATTACCCTCTAGTGTGCTTTTTAGTATTTTCTGAAAATTTTCCCATTGATGTCTTTTTAAATGTAACCAGAGCAAACTAGACTTTAATCCCAGAATTTCTAAGAGGTTGAAACCGTGTGAAAAGTTGATTGCTTTGGCCTTTTCATTAGTTAGCATACCATGTCACATTCCTACCAAGTCTCTGATCTGTTACATGATTTTCCTTTTGTCTTCATATTCCTCCAAAAGCTAGGTAATGAGGAACAGCAAGAAAAACTGCTCAGGGAGTGGCTGGACTGCTGTGTGACAGAGGGGGGAGTTCTGGTTGCCATGCAAAAGAGCTCTCGGCGGCGAAATCACCCCCTGGTTACTCAAATGGTAGAAAAATGGCTTGACCGCTACCGACAGATCCGGCCCTGTACATCCCTGTCTGATGGAGAGGAAGATGAGGATGATGAAGATGAATGAAAAAAAAGCAGAAGACCAAGGCATCGGATCTGTAATGACCCTAAAGTTAGTGTGGTGCTCCAAGCAGAGTCTACATCATGGACTGAACCAAATCTGGCAGAATCTGCTCGGAAGTGTTTTCCTGGACCACACACACCTAATGGAGATACGGCCTCTGCTGCATGAGGGGACAGAGAACTTCGGTTGGACTACAGTTTGTAAAAAAAAACAAAACCTAATTTTATTATTAAGACAGAACTTTTTGTCCTTTCAAATTGTAAATCTGTCTATAAATGTAACGCATGTGGTTGTGAAAGAAATTGTGTAATAGGAAAAGTTGTACCAGCATCTTCATATTATTGAGAAATTGTTTTCCAGCATGGGCACTTAGAAAAAGCACATGACAGACGACTCTTTGTTCCTTTGAGATAATATTTCAATAGAACCTGGCATTCTACTTTCACCTTAAAAGATCCATCTAATGTTAAGTCTCAGAGATCTGGAAATGTTTTGTATGAATTATCCACAGCAAAACATAAAAATAAGCTTTTAATAATTTAGTTCCTATTGTGCCCAATAAAATCAAATCTTTTAGGAACAAACCGAAAGAAAAGAATGTTTTAGCGTGAACTAAATATAAACATTGTTTTATTTGTTTTGAAGAGGGTTTTGGTTTTGGTTATTGTATCTTTATACCCCCTTTCAATATGTAGATATTTATTTGTTTGGAAGAGTACCTTAAAAATAAGGGTTCTAATTCCAGATTCTGGGTCTGTGAGTAGCATTTTCCTGGATGAAAAGGGAGCAAGCCCACTTGTCACTAAATGAATTGTGTGAAATTTGCTCACTTGGACTCCAGCAACAGTGTTCTACTCCCAAATTGCCAGGCCAAAGGGTCTTCGGATTCTTCCTTTTATCACCTCTGCTCTAGGCAAATTTTGTCAGGCAGATTGGGAAACCAATTCACTACAGAATAAAGATTTTTAAAATGCAATAAAGGTGGTAAATGCATTGTATGAAGAATTTCTCAGTGTATAGTCTGAGAACTTTTGCATGTTGAATTGTGGCCATTCTTATTTAAAATTAAAACAATAATGTTAGGTAGAAAAATTTTTATAAGGAGTATTATTTGACCACTTGAGGTATACATTCAATACTGGGTAAAAATTTCAGACCTATTTAACTCAGGAACACAGAAATACTTGGTGTCCTGATAAGCACTTTCTAGACGATTGATGTGGCCAGGAATTTGGAAAAAAGACATACTCACACGTGTATTTTTTTTTCTTCCCTGTGATGAAAAGGCTGTGAAAACCTTAAAAGTATTTGCTCGCTTCTTGTTTTGTTTAGTTGATAATGAAATGTGTACAACCTCAAATTTGCTGCCAGAATGATACTAAAAATAGAAAACTACCCATGAAACTGTCATGTCTTTACTTCTTCTCCCCCTCTGAAAACTCAGTAGTGTTCCCAGGATGAAAAGATCATTTTTGCTGCATGCTAAATCTTACAGGAAAAATTATTTTTGTAGTATGATTCCATATAAATGAATTTTTGATATAATGTAAATGTTACCGTTTCAAGTGGTTAATGTTTTCTTAAAAATTGACTATGGTTTGCTTTCATTTTGGTCAATAATTAATCGAGTTTTTAGAAAATGTTAGCACTCTGATTACTTAGTATCTATAGTAACTTTATGCCTAGGGATAATTCTTTAGTGGGCAGAGATCCAGTTCTAGTTGCCCGTTGAGCAAAATCTGCCCTCCCAATTGAAGAAGCCAAAGAGAATTATTAGAGGGAAAAGCATGTAGCCACTGCAGTCTATACTGCAGCCAAGGTTGTCCAGAAAGTACACGCTTAGTACGTAGCTTCTACCGTGTGTTGTGGTGAGTGGTGTTTTCCCTGAGCGCTCTATTTATTTATTTATTTATTTATTTATTAATTATCCATAACCCTGACCTCAGTGTGATAGGTGCAGCATTCTTCCCTGTGGGAGAGAGTTATAGATGGTTCTATTTCCTAGGCTACAGACAGGAATGGGACTTTAAATGGTTTTCATAGATTGGCTGTTAAAGGCCAAAATTTTTGGTAAATCAATGCTGTATTATGTTCTTGAACTATTAAAGAGCCATAATTATTGTCCCAAAGTAGAATATAGTCCTTTTCAAAGATTATACATGGCTAGGTGACAGACATAAACATCTTGATTGACTGGATAGTAACACCTTAACTCCATAAACTTTGTGGTTTTTCTAGAGCATACACAGCGTGGCATTTTGTTTTGACCTGTTCTTCCTTGGAGTCAAATTTATAAATATATATATATATATTTATTTTCATTTGTTTGGGCAACCAAGATCTAATTAAACAAAACCCAGGTTGACCATGGATTCAGACCTGCCTTTTTGTTTTTGATTCTTAGGTTCATCGTGTCCCAGACTTCTTCACATATGTGAAGGTAAGATATTCTGCGTGCTTGGGCCCTCCTTTTCATGCATATTATTTCATTGCCTCTTTGATGAGTAGTTATGAAGACATTAAACTACCTTTTTGTTCCCTGGGGCGACAGGTCAGTAACTATGAGTGCCATCTCTCTCCATGTGAGGTTGTTTTAATGTGTTTTTATGGTAGAGTTGGGATGGGCCACCACATAAAAATGAGTGAGGAGACAAGGCCAGGCAGGCAGAAGGCTTTAAGACACCATGGGCTTTTTTTTTTTTTTTTTTTTATGGGGTGGGGGTTGGTGTTTTAATGGGAAGGGAAGTATAAGGAAGAGCTCAGAAGGAGTTTTGATACCTGGAATTGCTGGACTTGACACTTGCAGACACTATTACTATAAAGGTTTAATGCTATTTAAAAAGATCCATTAAATTCAAGTTCTTAACTATTTTGCCAGACTTCTTTGTAAATTTCATGGTTATTGGCAAAACAGTTTCAAGGTTCACTTCCCTCCCTTGGACTAGGTCCAGGTCATTTTGCTTTGGGGTAAATTAAAATCAAAACTCGAAAAGTTGGGCAACTTTGTTTTTTGAATTGATTTAGCTCTAATGCACCAAGATGGCATGACTTGATAATGATGGACTTGTGAGGTTTTGTTTTTTCAATTAAACTTTGTATTACATGAGGTAATTGTCAGCGTTCTTGAGTCTGGTTATAGAATAGGCAGATATAACCCTGGAGTAACAAGAGTTGGAAATTGGCTAATTGACAATGCAGTTACCTTAAACATCTCAAGTAGAGAACTTTTACTTCAGTGAGATGTACTTGAATTTCAGAACTTAACAGAAATTTTAATTACTTTTTATTGAAAACTGCACTGAACGCTAAATGTCCACCTTTACAATAAACAAATACAGTAACGGTAACTCACACTAAAACAAAACATACTTCTGATAGCCATTATTTTTCTGTTTGGGACAATTTTAAAGTTTGTTTTGTCACAAAAACAGGAATGTACCTATACAAAGGCTCAAAATAGGCCATCTTTTTAAACAAAAAGGCAATGATTCACAAAAGACTATGAATAGAACATGTAACTAGTTGATACAAATCTAATAGGATTTGTTAAAATCAGTCACATCTAATACATCTGAAGTGTTCTTGTATAAAATATCACGTGAAGAAAAAAAGACTTTATCAATGTCTAAAAAAGTGGGTTTGTTCATAGACAATCTGACAAGTTACCATAAAAAGTGTTTCCTGAGACATAAGGAAATGCAACATTATTCTTCTTGAACCCTTTTAGTTCAAGACTTTCCACTCAATAAAATAGCAGAGGATCTGAAACTGAGAAAATATATTTGAGTACAAACAGCTTGTGAAACTTAATACTTTTTTTTTTTTTTTTTTTTTGCATCATCAGAGGGTTTTACTTAACTTACAACCAACTTGCCCACTCAGAGTATACAGTTCAGCTGTGAGAGACGCTTCTCTGTACAGGAGCCTGTACTGTCTTCAATCCTATGCGTGCAGGTGTCTACCACAGGCAAACAGTTTTCTCCCCATTTGGTAGTAATGTGATCTTCCTATTAGTAAAAAGAGGTAACCAGCCCCTGTAGACTGAAGGGACTCAAGTCACAGGATGGGGATTTCCTCTTAATATTTTTTATTTGGATGTTTGAACTCTTGATGCAACATTCTCGAGCAGGGTGTTCAGGACCTGCTGTGCCCAAGGGACTGATAAAGGAAAAAGCTCTATTTATTCTTTGTGATTTGATGCACAGATGAAAAACTTAACACACAATAACAGAAGTTGGTCGTTAATAAATCACATCCTAGTCTTTCAGTGCTTCCGTAAGCAGACGACATCTTCAGTTTTTCTAGCTCTTGTAGTTTTAACACTGCAACATCAATGATGCATATGTCCAGAATCAGTTACAAAGACCGTCAGATTCTTTTTCTCTTAGTTCATCTATTTTTTACTGTCTCTTGGTCCCGAGTGTATCTGAACGATTACCTTCCAGCATTCTCTGCTATTGCTCGTTGGGGTGCTCTCGATTGTCCCCGTGTTTTGTGGGCTGGTTGGGAGAGGGTGCTTGGGAAGGATGTGCCACTGTCGGGAGGTTGTGAGTCACTGGGATGCCCCCAGGGATGATCCCTTCCATGGCTGCAGGAAGTCCGCCTGGAGCCACACCCACGATGCCTGGCGGGTATCTAAGGCACACACAGAAACAGGGTCTTGTAAGTTCAGGGCGGAGTTGCCAAGCTCTTGGCTCATTCCCTACTTCTGGCCTTTTTTCAATTCAAAGTTTTTTCTTGAGATGTGAGCCCATAGACATGAACGCGGCTCACTGCAGCCTTGACCACGATTCCACCTCAGGCACCCAAGTAGCTGTGATCAGAGGCATGAGCCATCACGCCTGGCTAGTTTTTGTATTTTTTTGGTAGAGATGAGGTTTCTCCAGGCTGCCTAGCCTGGCCTCAAACTCCTGAGCTCAAGTGATCCCCCCACCTCAGCTCCTCCCAGAGTCCTGGGATATCCTCCCTATCCCCAAAAGGATAGAAGAAATCTCAATTTTTATATAAAACTGGCAGCTAATTCATAAAAACAAAACTAGTCCAATCCAAACATTGGACCAGTAATTTTGTAGCTTTTAGGTAACAGGAAGGTATTAGCTCATATTAAGTATGAATGTGGATACTGTACAGTTTAAAAAACACATTTTATACAAAATGGTAGTGTGATTTCTGACTGATAAAGTGATTTCCCAGCAGAGTACAATACACCCCGAGGGACTGAATGTCTGTCTCTCCTCCATTTCCCTAATTCTTGGCCTTAAGAGGTAGAGTTTTTGAGAAGTGACTGGGTCAGGAATGGGATTAGTGCCCTCACAGAAGGGAGCCCGGTGTCGATCACCTGGCCAACATGAAGAAACCGCATCTCTGTTAAAAATACAAAAATTAGCCAAGCATGGTTGCGGCGTGTGCCTGTAATCCCAGGTACTCGGGAGGCTGAGGCAGGAGAACTGCTTGAACCCTGGAGGTGGAAGGTGCAGTGAGCTGAGATTGCACCACCGTACTCCAGCTGGGCAACAGAGCGAGACTCTGTCTCAGAAGAAAAAGGGAGCCCAGGTAGTGCTCTGGCCCCCTCTCTGCCATATGGTGTGAGGACACAGGAAGAAACTGGCAGTCTGCTGCCTGGCCTTCACCAGAACCTGACCATGCTGTCAGCCTGATCTGACTTCCAGCCTCCAGAACTGCAAGCGAGACCTTTCTGTGGTTTACAAGCCACCCAGGCTATGCTACTCAGAAAAGGCAGCCAGAACTCGCTCAGTTTTCTAGGCTGGTTTGTTACGCACTCCTGTGGCCTGAGCTGGGAATGGTATGCTGGCTGTTGGCTGGGGGCCTGGCTTCCTCTGAATGTCCAGGGTTGGGCTGGTTTTCTATTTTAAGCGTGAGGCACTGTGTGAGGACACACCACATTCACCACCCTCAGAACATAGGGGCCCTTGGCAAAGTGGGGCTCCTGAGTATTCATACAGACTTCGTTCCTAAACCCTTCATCATTAAGGTGGAGGTGGCGGCATCTCACTGAGGAAGCCGCCCCACCCCCAGCTCCTGGCCTGCCATCCTGTCACCACCAATCAGAAATCCCCAAGACCTTCAGAAGGACTCTGGTCAGTAGGGTCCCTTCCAGCTTCCTCACTGCACACAGACTGTTCTAGGGGACCCATGAGCCTCGGCTTATCTGAAGGAAGAAATACAATGGAGACATGAAAAGGCAGGCCCCCAACTCCACCCAACAGGGGAGTCTGGTGCTGTGATGGTCTCAGTAATACTTGAAAATATTTTAAGGACCAAAAGGATGATTTGTTGAAATGTGAAGACAGCCATGTGACCTGCACACACCAGCATAGCTGCTTCAGTGTCGGAGCCATCACTGCACAAATTAAATGCATCCTGGTAGTCACTGTGGCTACAGCAGGGGACATGTGGCAATGTCTGGAGGCATTTTCAATTATCCTGAGGGGGAGTGGAGGTGATACTGTTCTCTCGTGGGTAGAGGCCAGGGATGCTGCAAACCGTCCTGTAATGCACAGGCTGGGCTGCCTACAGGAGAATGAGGACAATGACCTGGCCCCAAGCATGTCTATTGCCAAGAGCTGGAATCCCTGGGTTGAATATGTGAAGATTTTTTTAAGATTCAAAGCTGCACCTTCTTTCATTTATGTATGAGGGGACTATTGATTTCCTGGGAACCCAGCAATAATGAGGGATAGGAGAAAACCAATTTGTGCTTGGAAAATACCAGAAAAGAAACCATCTCTCCCTGTAAGGGCTCTTGTCTTTAACCCACTCTGCACTCTCTAACACTGCTCCAGTTTCTCTGTTGACCCAAACTACAGGTATCATTCTTAGTATGTGGACGAGGTCATTATCCCGAGTTGACTGTACCTTCATTGGCCAGGATGCCTCCCACGGACATAAGATTCAAGTTAGAAAATGAACTTGTTCACGGAATTGAGCATCTTATTTATATATACCTTTCTCCTTGAGAAGCCTTTTTTTTGGGGGTTGGGGTGGGGATGCGGGACAGAGTCTTATGTGGCTCAGGCTGGAGTGCAGTGGGTGATAATCGGTTCACTGCAACCTCTGCCTCCCGGGTTCAAGCAACTCTGCCACTCAGCCTCCTTAGTAGCTGGGATTACAGGCATGTACCACCATACTCAGCTGATTTTTGTGTTTTTAGCAGAGATGGGGTTTCACCACTTGGTCTGACCCATCTTGAACTCGACCTCAGGTCATCTACTTGCCTCAGCCTCCCAAAGTGCTGGGATTACAGGCATGAGCCACTGCTCCTGGCTGAGAAGGCTTTTGGTTTTAAGATGGCTTTAGAATGAAAAGCAATTCCTAGCACCTGTGGTCAATCACATCTGACAGAACCCACCCCTTTTAAAATAGGAGTTTCTGTTTGCTCCATGGAAATTAGGCAGTGGAAGACCTGCGGGGGCAATGTACACAGTTCCTGCCGAGGAGGCCAATTGTTCTGACTGTGGCTTAGCATCCGCAGGCGGGAGGCTTCTGCCAAGTTTGGGCTTCTCTCCCTGGCCCCAGGGCTTGGCGCTCACAGGCTGAGACAAAGTCAGTTCCTCTTCTCACCTGTATGTGGCACCATTGAGCTCAGGATGAATTGCTTGCTGGTCTATTACTGACCAAGGCGCTGATGTGACGAAAAATTCCTTGTTCACACAGTTTCTTAAGCTTTCTGGGATGCGACCTAGGGTAAGATGATCAATCATATTATTTTTACAAGTCATAGTAAGTTCAACATGTGGCTGCTTATGCGGGGAAACAACTTTAAACATCTGTAAAACCATAAAACATCCTAGGGCCCAGGTGCTTGAGCTCTTCAACAATGACCTGCAGCCTCGTCTGTCCGCCACTCCTGAGTTTGTAATGTCTGAGACTAAAGGGAATGGTTTGAGGTGTAGTTCAGGGCTTACTTAAATAAACAGGGCCCAACTCTATATATTTGATGCTAAAAAAATGAATTCTACCTGTTGCGAGCTGCCTGTAGCCAACGGGATGGGAGGCAGCTGTGCCGTGGAGCTGAGGCTGCCCTTGGCAAGTCGGAGGCACAGAGGGACTCACCTGTGATGGCTCGGCGGATCTCAGTGGCAGCGGCCTCCCTCATTTCCAGCGATGCCTGCTCGCTGTACCAGGCAGTGTGAGGAGTGCAGATGAGATTCGGTGCATCTTTCAATGGACCCTGAGCAAAGCTAGAAAAATGCAAAACAATCCCAGTAAGTGGGAAACGTTACATACACTCCCTGCCCTCCTCAGCATGAGGGGCTCTTGGCCATGTAGAAAAGCAGCTACGTAGACAACGTGGATACAGGCACGTCTGTGATCATACTTTATGAAGGCTGGGAATTTTTGAATGCAATTATAAAAATTCTGTAAGAACAGTGTGAGTAATAATTGGTAGACCAAAAAGCCCAATTCTCTTGAAAGCCTGCTCTGCTCTAATCCAGGGCAGAGATGATGCCTGTCTGTCTAAACACCAGAAACACCATCACCACCAATTTCCTGCCTCTCCTTTCCCCGATGACCTTTGTGGACCCTTCCAGTCCTTTTACAATTAGAATACAGCACAGTCCTCAGAGGAACAGAGACTGTGTCATGTCCGGAATTTCCTGCCCAGGGACCTGTTTGGGGAAAGGGCCTCTAGTTCACAGTGTGGGGGTCAGACATGGAGTTGGGCCCAATGGGCTGTGGCAGGAGGCGAGGACAACACGCACCTGAAGGGCTCTGACTCATGCACGTCGAGGGCTGCCCCTCGTATCCTGCCCTCCTTGAGGGCCTGTGCTAAGGCTTTCTCGTCCACCAGGCCGCCACGGGCTGCGTTCACAAGGAATGCTCCCTGCCTCATCTGTGGAAGGAAAGAAAAGCTGGTCACAGGCACACTGGCGTGGAAGACTCTTGTATCAAGGTTTAAAGAAGAAAACTGCAAGCTAGGAGTTTTGGTCTTGTGGCTTAATGTGCGTGCTGCAGTCTGAGGGAAGGGAATGAAGTCTTGGTGCTGGCTGGAAACCAGGGCGTTTCTGCTGATCCTGAGAGGAAGCCACCCCGTGGAAAGGCTGGACTGTGCCAGGTGGCTGGCCTCTGAAGGTTCTGGGAAACCTTTGAAGCTGGGTCCTGGCTAGTGCCTGTCCCTCTCTGCTTAGCCTGGCTCAGCCCAAGGAAGCGGCCTGACCCGGCTTGTCACTGGTTTGTTGCAGGGCCTCTTCCCTGCTCAAGTGTGTCCAGGAACCATCTCCCTTGCCCTCTTGTGTCCCCTCTTGTGCCCACAGCAGGTGCCACCACCTTCTGACAGAAGCTTCCACGGTGTCTGTTTTCACTTACCTGCTTTATGGTAAAGTCGTTGATGAGGTGGTGGTTATGTTCGTTGAGATTGCAGTGCAGGGAGACGCAGTCGCTCTGATACAGCAAATCCTGCAGCGTGTAGACCCTCTGCACGCCCAGGGACCGCTCGATCCCATCCTGCAAGTAGGGGTCATAAAATATGACGCTGAATCCAAAGGCCTTGGCTCGAACTGCAACCGCCTGCCCCGTGCGACCTGTGCAGAAACAGAGCGTCCAGGTGAGTGAGTCCACAGCCTGCGGCCCAGCGCTGCCACCTCCATTGCTTCTGCACCAAGTCCGGGCTTGCCGTCCCCACTAAAAGCTGCTGCCAGAGTTATGTGCCCAAAGCTTAGTGAGGCCTGAGGTTTGAGTATTGCCCGCGAGGGGCCACCAGGGCTGATGGAGGACGGGTATCAGTGCTAGCTGCTTAGATTGGCCACAGCAGGACTTTTGTTAAAAACAAAGCAAAACAAACCCATCCTTCCTTGTTATTGACATTTTCAAACAATTAGAATTTTCTAGTAAGCCCACAAGCCTCTCCCATCACCACTCACATCCTCCCTTCCCATTCCTCTCTCCACTTCTTGGGTGCGCTGTAGGCTTAATACAAGCTTGGTTGCTCTCAATGTAATAGGGAATGATGTCCTGCCTTATCACCCCCGGGCTTGCTCCAGTAAAGTACAGCTCCCTGCAGGCCAGCCCGAGTGCAGAGTGGCCATGTGCTACTGTGTTCTGGGCAGGGCACGTGACCATCAGGCCTGGACTCATCCCACTGGTGGGGACTGCGCCCACCTCTAGCATGCAGCCTGGGCCTCCTGCCAGCTATGTCACAGGACGAGGAAGTGTCCCCAACAGCTGTCATTTCATAAACCCATGGGATCCTCTTGATAGCACCTCCAGCTTCCTGGAGCAGTTTTCAGCATTTTGAAAACCAAATGGTTTGTGTAATGCCTGACTGGGCTCTCTTGGAGGTCACAGAAGGAATATTTATCTAAAGCCATGGTCCCAAGGTGCGGGCAGGAGAAAGGACAAAGCTGTGCATTTCCGAGCAGGCCGCCTGTGTTCTGGGGTACCCTGCTGCTGGACGGCTCCCCCTCCTGCCAGCAGCTCCACCTAACTGATGGCATGGCTAGGACAACTGCTGTAGTTTGGAACCAAGTTTGAGTAAGGCCTGTCTGATCGGGGACAGCTGCAGAGCAACTACTATGGTAAGGCACAAGCCATGGTGCCACCCCTTATCGGTGTCAGAGCTGGCCAGTGGCAGGGACCGGAGTGAGACACGGCTCTCTGACGCTCTGGGAACAAGAGACAGGGGAACCAGCAAGCAACTGCAGGTAGTTCACACTCCTCGGCCCCCGCCGGCCTTTGCCGTTCCTGCAGCCTCCATCCCCCTCATGACGTCTGTGCCTAGAGTGTGGCTCGCCCTCTGCAGATCCAGGACCTTGAGGGCCTGTAGAAAGGCAGCCCAGAGCCCCAAGCCCAGATTTCAACTGTGTTGATCGGGGCTGAGTGCTATTTCTCTGGGTTTGATTTTTTCCAAGTTCACAAACCCCTTGAACTTTATCATGAGATTTTCTGACAACCTAATGGCAATCGTGCTACTGACTTAATACCCAGTCCCTACAGAAGAGAGCCCACTCACCCCCCATAGCTACCCTCTGCCAACTTTTTAAAAGCACAGCTCCCATAGGCTCTCTTCTCTTCAGTTTCTGTCCATGACCTCAACCCCAGGCTGCCCCCTCGCCACCCACCCCTGCCTGCTGCACTGAGCCAGCTGGGCCTGGGGACTCTTGCTCAGCGGAACCCAAGGCCAGAAAAGGGTCTTAGCCCAAAGATGGCTGTGGCCGTGACAGTGTTGAAGGCTAGAGACCTGGAAAGGGAGCCAGGAGAGACTGACAGGCCGTGTGCTGGGGTCCCCGGGTGGCGGAGGCAGTGGTTGGAAACGGGGTGGCAGCAGGGGCTGAACTGGCCCTTCATACACTGAGATGGTTTTTAAAGTTGAGTGACATGAGCACAGCCACAGGAACGACCCTGGGAAGAAGTCCCTGAGACAAGCACTTCCCCAGTGAGGCCCTACCATGCAGCCAGGGTGCTTACCACCACCCACAGGCGCTGCAGCCTGGCCAGAGACCACAGACCTTCAGAGTGCATGGAGACGAAGCAGCATGAGTGCCACGAAGCCCAGCGGGACCTGGACAGAGGGAGCCTGGTGTTCACACACCAAGTCTGCCTTTCTAACAACCTCAAACACGGTGGGTCCTTTTAAAATACCCCAGCACCTGGCACTTAGACCCCGGGCGTCAGGCAAGGCCAGACCCAGGAGATCATGGCCTGTAGAGGGGATGGAAAGAGTGCGCTCCTGGAAGCGTCCAGCAATTTCTCTCTCGTTCATGCAGCCCCCAGGTCCAGAGCGGGGCTTGTGGGGAGAGGAGCCCGGGGGCTTCGTCATCGGAGGTGTGGAGCTCCGCGCAGACTGAGCAGCAGCTAGGAGTCTCCCGGAGGCCAGAACATCACTACCTGCCTGTGTGCAAAGACTCCTTCCTGGAGTCCCAAGAGGCAGATGGACCTGTGGTGGGCAGGGCGGGGCCCTCTGCGAGCCTCTGTGGAATCAGGCTGCTCACCATCACCTTCTCTGCAGTGCTGCCCGCCCCCCCACCACCTTGCTGTAGGCTCTCCTGTGGCCTCTCCCCACACATCTCCATGGTTAGAGCCTTTTCCTGCCCCTCTCAGGAGTGCTTTCCAAGCTGATGGCCTGACTCTGCCGTGTCAACCTGGCCTTTGAGGGCCTTCAGGACTGAGGCCGTGCCCATAGTGCCCATAGCCTGGGTCTTCATGGAACCACCGGCCCCCACTTGAGCCCCAAGCCTGCCTGCTTCTCCACAGCACACCTCCACACAGCCGTGCCCTTCACTCCTGCCCTGGGAAACTTAGTGGGCACAGTACATTGCCTGCTGCCCCACAGCAGAGAATGCTGTCCTGCCAGATGCTGCAGACAGCAGTGGACACTCATTCTTCCAGAACCAGCCCAAATCAGACCTCTGGGGCAAGTTCCCTGGCAGGCGTTGACTCCAATCTCCTGTCTTGTGCCACACTGGGTCCTGGCCCTGCCTCTGTTGGGGCTGCATTTCCCGAGGGGTTCCTCCCTGCCCCAGCGCCAGTGTTGGAGGGGCTGGGGGTGGGGGTGGAGGGTGGCACGTACCGAAGCCGATGAGGCCCAGTGTCTCCCCACGGATACGGGCCGCTCCCGAGGCCACCTCTCGGATCTGCTCCACGCTCTGAACCCGCGTGCCTTCCCGCAGGGCCTGGTACAGCCACGTGTTCCTCCGGTACAGATTGAGGATGTGGCAGATGGTGGAGTCAGCTGTCTCTTCCACGGCTGCGGATGGGATGTTGCACACAGCAATTCCTGAAAGGGACAAGGCCAAGGCCGGGGATGAGAAAAGCCCCAGCCCTCCTGAGGCAAGGTTGTTGGCATGGGGGAGGCCTAGCGGACACAGGGCTGGGCAGGTGGGCGGCAGGCCCTCTGCCCCTGATGCCCGGGAGGCTCTAGCCTAAACATCTACCCCTAAGGAGGATGTGCGGTTCAGGACGTTGCTCATGACCAGCCCAACTCCTGTGGCTGATCTTGTACGTGAGTAGCTTCCTCTCAGGCTTATGCTGAGTCCCACAAAAGGACCTGGCGTGGCATGACACCAGTGGGCCCAAGACCAGACTCCTCTGCCCCACTCCGACGCACAGCCCCCAGGGTCTTCCTCATGGAACTGGCAGGGGTGACAAAGAATGGCTTTTAGTTTTAAGGTATGGTAACGGTTCGATGCAAAAAACATATATTATTACTTGTTTTAAAAAAAGATCTCCACCCCAACATGGATGCAAGGGCTGGCCCGAGATGGAACTGCCGTCTGAAGTGAGTGCAGTCATCCTGTGGGCCCGTGCTCAGCACCCTGCTCCGGTGGACAGAACTCAGAGTGGACAGGATGCCCTCCCTTCCCTGTGGAGCAGCCTTCAGTGCTGAAGCCAGCTTAGGGTGAGCCCTCTGGCCCCACACAAGCTGCAGAAACCAGGTCAAGAAACTCCCAGGGCAAGGGAGCTGTGGTATGGAGTCATAAGCACAAGTAAGTCATAAGCAGAACGGGCCCGGGCATTTCCCCTCCTCAGCCAGAGGGTGTCTGGGGAAGAATGCATGTCTGCCAGATAAAACTGGGGGCCAGGCTGGGAATGGCCCTTCCCTGCCACCCGATGGGTATGCCTACTTACAGCAGAGGCAGTGGGGCTGAGCAGGAGTGGGCCCCAGAGGGTGGGTGCAGCAGCCAGTCTGTGGCTCCCAGCTGAGCGCTCTGAGGGCGGGGGCAGATATCTGGGCCCCATGTCAGCCCAGGTCCAAAGGTTCCCTCTTAATTCCAGGTTTGGGACCCCCCTAGGAGAGTGCCTCTCCCAATAAGGGATGCCCATGGCAATGGGGCAGGGCCACCTTTAAGGCAGCCTGGGATTCCTCTATCTTCTTAAATCCTGATGATTGGGGTATGGACAGAAACCACAAAGGCAGCTTCTTTGGCTCTACCGGACAGGAAACAGGACCAGCGGGGCTGCAAACCCACTTTCTAGACAGCTGCGTGGCTATCTCCCTGGGAGGGCTGCCCCTCCGTTTAGGGTCTTGACAGTGACCGCCTCAGCAGGACACACAGCTCAGAGAAGGTGAAGCCACTGTGAGCAGGTCACCCACCCACCCCACATTGCCACTGGGGACTCCTCCGGGCCACAGACACCTGACAAGGGAACAGTGTGACTGACTACGACTGAGGCCGACCGACTTTCCCATGAGCTGGATGCCAGGAGTCCTGCAGGAAATGGGCCTCGTTCATTTGAAATAACTCAGCCGAGAATCTGCGGCTTGACCACATGCCATGCTATTATTAGAGTCAGAGAGACTGAGGCTGATGCCAGAGGTTAGAACATCTTAGGCAGTTGGGAGAATTTTCATTCCTCAGAAGGGCTGAGGCCCAGCAGGGAGGCGCCGCAGAAGAATCGCCCTCCAGGGACACAGGCTCCACTGTTGACGGGCGTGAACAGCGGGTTCTCCTAGAAGAGCTGATGTCGGTGGAGGGTCCCTCTGGGCCATGTGTGTGAGGGCACCTGGGTGGGTGTGGCACAAAAGGGAGGTTGAGGCATGACACTGGTGAGTCTTCACACCAGTACTTGGACATTCAGCTCCCTGGGTCTAGTCCTCATGAGTGCAGTGTCCCAGGCCTGGGACAGCGCGCAGGAGGAAGAGCTGCGGCACTGCCTGGGCTGAAGAACCTTCCAGACGGCCACGGCGCCCCTGCTAGAAGCATCCATAACCTCATCAACCCCGCGGAGGGAGTGTCTTCTAAACTGTCCGACACAGCGCCACGGATGCGACCTCCCTTCCAGATGAGTCAAGTTGATCCTGCAAATGTCACACAACGGGCGCCTCTGATCCTCACAGCATCATTGGACCCCAAAAATGGCCCCAAAGAGGCACACTGCTGACCTTTCCTGGTCAGTGCCTTGGTGCTTTACTCCCTTCATGGCTGCTACTGGCATGGAAACCAGATCAACCAGCTTGCTGGGGGTGGCGGGGCCAGGGTGTAGGGTCCTCTCGAAATCTTCCCCTCATGTCTTCCTGGTTTGTGGGAAAAGCGCAGCGTTCTCAAGCCTCGCCCTGCTCTTCCCATGAAGGGCTGACTCTGCCCATCATTCCAGGGCTGGTAGCTTAGAGCCTGGCCATCCCAGGAAGCTTCACCAGAGGCCCAGCGTGCTGCCTCCTGTGCCATGGAGGGCCCTGTTTACCAGGCTCCAGGGACCCCCTTTCATCAGGAGGAGGGCAGCCACCTGCCGCTTGCAGCCTGCCTCACAAAAGGCCCGCTGACCGCATGATGCGGGAAATGCATCTGGAGACAAAGGACGTCTGGACAGAGGCTCCTTTCTGCCTCCAGATTCCACATATGAAAAGTGCCCTTTAGAAGGGCCCTGAAGCTGTCTTCCAAGCAGCACACTTATCAGATGGGACCGGGATCAATGAAAATGCCACCACTCACAGCCCTTCCATGTTTTCCACAGCCGCAGGCCTGTGGCTGTCTTCCGTGGGTCTCAGATGCCTCAGGAAACACAACCTCCCATCTCAGCTCTCCTGGGATCCAGGATCGAGGGCCTGTGTGGGCACTGGAGGAATGGCAAGTCCCACAGGAAGACCTCCCCTTTCTCCCTGGAAAGCAGCAGCTGGTCTGGCCGAGGAAGGTCAGGGTCAGCACCGTGTGGGCCCAGGAGCTGTGTGTGAGGGGCAGACGTGCTGGAGAAGCAAGAGACATGCGGGGGACGAGGATCCGGGAGCCCCTGGCACACGAAGCTGCCTTCTCCTCTGCTGTTCAAACTTGGGATCGCAGCTCTACTAAGAGCACAAAGGACGTTTGTTTTCAAACAAAAATATCCTTGTTTGTGCCAGGGAAAGATGGAAAATTTTAGTTTATATTAAACACGCTTTTGAAGACTCATATCCTCCGGAGTTTCTTTGTTGCAGCAGAGAGAGGGGCTCAGAAGGATGTGGTGGGTGGGAGCTGAGGTTGGGTGGGCGGCGTGGGGCAGGGGGCGAGGGGTGACCTATGAAGCTGATGCTCCTGGGACCCTAAGGGTAGGGTCCCTTGAGGAAGCTGAGCACCACTGCATCCTGACCCCTGCCCTACTGCGCTGGGCTCCCCAGTCCTGCTCCTGGACACCAAGACCCACCCAGGGCTTCCAGAACCCGAATGCCAATGAGGGACTCAACAAAGATTCTGACACGCACACTCCAAGCCCCAGGATAGTGCTATGGAGACAAAGCTGAAGCCCACGTGGGTGGCCTCCCTGAAACTGTGGCCAGCCATGCCCAAGAGCAGGATGCTGAGTATATGCAGTGCTACTGCTCAGACATGGAGCCGATCTGACACCCAGGCTGTCCCAGAAGCACCGAGTCCCATGGGGGCCTCAGCCAATGGGAGCCAGATGGGGGAAAGTGCAGCCCAGCTATTCCTGGAGCACAGGAAGGGTTGTTCCAAGCCCAGCCTGCTGTCAGGACCACAGGCCTGGGTCCCCAGTGGTTTTGAAGCATCCCTTAGCAGCCTCATGCATTTGGGGCACCTCGGTGCTCACAAGGCAGAGTCCAGCCCCCACCCCCAAGTGCAGGGGTGGCGTGTTTCAAACACACAGACCAAGCACAGTGCCCCTGCGCTCTCCCAAGGACCCTCGATGCCAGTGGTCTGCTCCTTGGGCCTGGGGGGTGCATACACAGCTTCACGCGCCCCCCCAACTCTGGGCTCCTGCCTGCTGCCTCTGCTTTCCTTCTGAAACCTCTTGTCGGCAGTGCGGGGCAGGGGTCCACCTGCTTTGGTGCTGACCTGGGCCAGATGCTGCGCACCAGCAGGGGTAGTTTAGGGGACATGCGGCCATTCGCATTCTCCCCTCTGGAGGACAGAGCCCATTGGCAATGGGTGTTTCCAAAGTAAGCCAGTGCCAGCTTGGTGTTGCTCTGAGGGCAGAGATGCATCACAGCCCAACAGACCCCACACAGGGCCAGCAGGGACAATCCTTCCTGCGCCATCTGAAGGCAGGGCCGGCAACGTGCTCCACAGCCCAGTCTGGAGGCTGCCATCTCGCTACAGCCAGAAGTAGCTGCTCTGTGGCCCCAGTTCCAGCTCCTTCTCCGAGCCCACCCACACAGGCCCGTGGAGCTCTGGACGACTCACCCAGCTCGCCGGCAGCCTTGATGTCCACGTTGTCGTAGCCGCTGCCTATCCGCACGATCACTCTCAGAGCCTTGAACTTTTCTAGGTCCTCCCTGGTGAGGGTGATGGTGTGGTACATCATGGCGCCCACGGCTTCATTTAGAACCTGTGTAGGAACAGAGCACAGGGTCGGAGCCCCACCCTGCGCAGCCCACCGGCTCCACCTGGCCTGGTCCCCTGGCCCCATCACCCTTGAACCCAAAGCAGAGTTTAGTAGAAAAGCGACAAGCTGGAGGAACAGGGGATTTGAGGCCTGGGGGCATGCTGGGGAGGAAACTGCCCAAGGTCAGTGCAGTCCCTGGCTGGGCAGGGCGGGCCCACCTTCTCGTGGATCTCCTGAGTGGACTGCGCGTCACAGAAGGCCACGGTGGCCAGGTCCTTCAGGATGGGCATCTCCACAGTGCAGTCGCGGCCGTCCAGCAGCGCCACCAGGGGGCGGGGGTGCAGGGGGCCGTTCATGATCTGGGGGCGGATACCTGTAAGGAGGGACGGGGAGGGCAGAGTGGGCGGCCAGGGCCACAGGGTGTGTGGAGGGGCAGCTCCCCACTCGTCACTGCGGGCAGAGCTTGGGCAAGCGAGGGAAGCAGAGCGCAAGAGCCCCGTCTCCACCTGCATCCTGGGAGACACTATCACGAAGAGGAGCCCCCTACCCTGACTCCACATGACTTGCAGCTCTGGTGGCAGACTCACGTGGCCACTTCCCTGCCAGCAAACCACAGTCCCAAGAGCACCAGGAGCATGGGGCCCCAAGGCCAGCACAGGCTAGTCCAGCACAAGACGGGTCCCAGCGCTGTGTGGCTCCCCACTTCCCCACCTGCAGCGGCGCCAGCTGCTTCCACACAACACGATGGGAATGAGGCGTGTGTATTCCAGGGAACCTCCTGGAGAGCCCCTGCACAAACAGGGCCCTGGGCAGGCTCCTCCCGCCTCTCTCACCTGCGCTGGGTGACGAGTTGCCAGTGTGGGGCAGGGAAGGAATGCCTGAGGGGCCCAGGAGAGCAAACTTCTCAAAGGACCACACTGCCAGCGGCTTTCTAGACAGGCCAGAGCCATCGCAGTAGCCCCAACAGGCTTCCTGGTTCTGCCAACAAGGTTCTGAAGGGAGAGTTGTGAGTGCAGCAGGGCAGGGGCCCCACAGCGGTCGTCTCACAAGTCCCCATACAAACTGTACAACCCCATCTGGACCGGCGCAGCCGCACTAGATGTCACTCGTCAGGGTGGTGGATGGCCTTAACCTGCCACAGCACAGAGGTGCACGCTTGTGCCCGTGTATACACAGGGCAGACCCCCTGCAGAGGCTGCCCACCTGCCCAGGAAGCAGCGAGGGCCCCGAGGCCTCTTTGCTCTCGCTCTTCTGTGCAGCACACCCAGCAGGCTCTGAAAACCTCACAGACAGAAGCAGCATTTTCTCCAAGAAAAACCGCCCCCTTCAATCCCATCCTTGGGTTTTATGGGTCCTCCTAGCCATCTGCCCAAACCTCAACATCATTGCCACCCACACCCTGGACACAAGAGAAGAGCCACCTAACCTACAGAGGGGACTGCAGTGCTGAGATGCCAGGAAGGGACAGTATCTCTTTTCTTGTCAAATTAGAACCCTTTCTAGAGCCTCAGATTAAAGCTTCTGGGGCATGTCAAGCTTTCAGATGTCCAGACCAACCCTGATGGCAGCTTATGTCTCCACCCCGCCTTTCCTCTACAGGCTGGACGGTGCAAGCCACCAGTGACCCACCAGGGGTCGCCTAATCAGGAAGGCGCGAAGTTCTCAGGACCACCGGCCTTCGTGTGAGCACAAGACAGCAGGCTCAGATTCCCACGAACAAAAGCAGGGGCCTTCTGCACAGGCCAGATCACCTTCCAGCCCCAACCTCCCTCGAGGGCTCTCGGCAGTCTGAAAATTGGCCACTTGCTAGGAGAGGATGATCGGGTCCCCAGCCACAGGGGGCTCCTGCTGGACCACCAAGGCTCATATTCAGTTAGCCAGACACTCTAGGGAGGAGCAGAGGAAGGACATCCCCCTCCACAGGAGCCATGTCCACATCCTGTTAGGACTCTACACAGTGCTGGGGAGGGACAGCCCCGGAGCACCCACACCAGCCCTGCATGGCAGGCCGAGCTCCACCACTGTGCCTTGGGATAATTATCTCTTTCAACGCAAAGTACAAAAAAGGCTTCTGCCCCAGCCTCAGAAGAATGGGCTGCGGGAGCCAGGACCACCTCCAGCCCTGCACAGACTCAGCTGTGTGCAGTTCTGCCACCCCCAGCTGGGAGGAATCGTGGTCCCTCCCCTCCCTGAGCAGTAGCTGCACCCGATGCTCAGACACTGAGGATGCATATGCACCCGGCCACTCCGGCTGCCACCCCCAGACCCAGGTCCCCAGTGCTGGGTGTCTGCATGAACGCACCGCAGCATCCTCCTGCACCAGGAAAATGGCAGAGCAGGGGAAACAAGGCAGGGGCAGGGGCCACACCCCTGCATCCTTGCCAGCCCACGACCCCTATGGGTGGACAGGAAGTGTGCAGCAGAAAGCTGGACACCTCCTCAGCTCATCCTCAAGGTCTGCAACAGCACCGCCAACCCCGTCATCCGACGAAGAAACCGACGCGCACGGCTCCCACCTTGGCTCCTCTTTTCTGCTAAGAAAATGGTACAACTGCCAAACTCCAAAAGATTCTTTCTCTTTCAGTAGACTCTTCTGGCCCCCCTACTTGAGGTCTGAGGGCACACTCCTGTGAGGCCTGGCAGTCCTGGCCTCATCCCCCAGGCTGTCGTGCCCACAGAGTGAGGAACACCCCAACTTCACTTTCAGGGGTGCTGGCAGGATGGTTATCGGACAGAGTGCCCGATTATGATAAGAAATCCAAGTGCTTAATTGAAGTAGCCACGCAGGAAAAGGACGCTGGGCACAAGGTGGGAATCCAGAGCCGCTGATGCGTCTGGGGAGCCTGAGAGGCCATCGTCACAAGATGTCCATCCACAGCATCAGTGCCTGCATCTGTTACCAGGGCAACAAACTCCAGGTTGCCTAGCGATCGTCTCCCTCCCAGACGGGCTGCCATTCTCATTGGTGAAACCCACCCTTTACCCTCCCTGATGGCCAGGCACGTAGAACGTGGCTGAGCCTGGCCCAAGAGACCTGTCTAAGGTCTGAGGCTGGAATCCTGGCAGCAGGTCCTCCACGGAAGGCAGGAAAAGAGAGAAGGAAGTGGGTTCTTGTGCTGGGAAAAGATGCTGGGCACGACTCTTGGGTGTCCTGCATGAGGTGCAGGGATACGGACGCCACAGGAGACCACTGGCACTGAGCATGAGAGCTTAGCTGGGGCACGGCTCAGGTTTGCTTCTAGAAAGGAAAAGACCATCTTCCATGTGCTCCTTCAGTCCCAGAAGGAAACTGTCCACCCACACACCAGGGAGTCTGGACTTAAATTCAAGTCCCTGTCTAGCAGCCACTGTCCCTACAGTGCTGGAGTCTGGGGCAGAAGTTCCTGGAAGATCTCATACAGGGAGATGAAGTGCAAGGTCCTCCATCTTACCTCACATAGAATTCCTGACACCTCTTTCAGGCTTCTGACAATCTAAGCAAGTTTTTAACATATTAGGATGTAACTGACACTTAGAGTAATATTCATATACATTAGGATGGAACATGACCCTTTCAAGGAAATGGGGTTCCCAGGCCCAGCGGGGTGGGAGAATTAGGAATTTGGAAGGAGAAAGCCCGAGGCCCAATATGTAATGAGGACTTCCTAAAAACTGGGGTTTACGATAAAAAGCCATGGCTTCCCGTTGCTATGTATAGCTAAAGGCCTTTTCCATGCACACAAACCACAGGGCTGCAGGAGTCCTGCAAAGCCGCTGTTCTTCCTAGTTCACAGCCCGGGACCTGGAGCTCAGGGTGGCCCTGCACCACGGTGCGCAACGCGGTGTGAGAAAACACGAGGTGTGAGCACAGGGTCACGGGTGTTTCCTCTCTTGCGCTATTTTTCCTCTCTAACATTTCCCACCAGTAAACCAGCCTTGTCCATTGCAGGATAATTCCATCTGCAACTGGACACATCATGAAGACATCAGTGCCTTACTGATGACAGCTTGCCCACATTAACTGAAGAGCATGAAGCCGTGCCGACTCCCCTGGTAGCAATTACTATCTGGTTTCAGGCTTGCGTCTGCACCAGGATGCACTCTGCACCGGCTCGAGGCCAGTGCCGATGCCCATCCCCAGGCCCAGTGTTGCTTACAACTGCAGCTGCAATAAATAATTGTGAAATTAGAGATGCTCAGTGGAAAACAAAGACAGCACCGGGCCCAGCTGCTGGAGTTCTGTGAACAGTAACCAGTCACCCGGGAAAAGCGGAGCCCACAGATCCCACAGATCCTAAGGCAGGTAGGTCTCAGGGAGGACGCCGGAAGCTTTCTGGACAGCTAGCCTTGATGCTGGTGGACACATTTCATTGTGGAGAGCTGCTCTTTCTTGGTGGGTACAGGCGGACAGGCCTGGAGTTGACCTTCTGGTTCAGTACCATGCAAGGCAAATGGGATGTTCTCCCCTGAGCAGTCACCAAGACACCGATCGATCTTGCCACAGAAAGCTGCCTGTGGTGTTTCTCAGACCCATTTTCCAGTCTTCCTAGGAACTGTGTGAGCTAAGCTGACATCCTTCCAATATAACTTTCCATTCTTTAAAAATGATCCAAATTGGTTTCCATTGCTTACAGCTCAAGACCCACTGCCCCAGTGGAAAGATTTTGTTGCTGTCAGGATTTCAGGCTTTTACCCTAAAGCAAAGCAGCTGCATGATCATTTCTGACATGGGAGGCAAAGTCTGGCTCTGGCCTCTAGATTTTACGAAAGATTCCTGACACCGCAGCAGTCCCAGGACACCAGTGCCAGCCTGGCTGGGAGCCCAGGGTGGTAGCTCCTCCGGTACCTGTGTCACCCCTGTTCCTGACACAGGGGCTGCCCCACGAAGTCCCTGTAAGGTTGCAGTCTTAGGGCTGGGGCCACTAGGGCAGGAAGGACGGCCATAGTCGTATCCATGAAGAATCGCTATTCAGAGTCACAGCAGTGGCCCTGAAGGAGGGAGCCTCTGAGGAATGAAGGCAGTTGCTGGAATTCGCCGGGTGCCGTCACCAGCTGCCATGATGGATACTGTAAGCAGCACCTGGATTCAGGACCAGGCGCAGTGGCGCACACCTGTAATCCCAGCACTTTGGAAGGCCAAGGTGGGCAGATCGCAAGGTCAGGAGACCATCATGGCTAACATGGTGAAACCCTATCTCTACTAAAAATAAAAGAAATTAGCCAGGTGTGGTGGTACATGCCTGTAGTCCCAGCTACTCGGGAGGCTGAAGCAGAGGAGAATTGCATGAACTCGGGAGGCGGAGGTTGCCGTGAGCAGAGATTGATTGCGCCACTGCACTCCAGCCTGGGTGACAGAGCGAGACTGTATCAAAAGAAGGAAGAAGTACTTGGATC